TACACTAAAATATGCAACCAATTACTTCGTCAGTTCTTATTAATAAGTCATGTCTGCATCTAGTCAGCATGACAAATATATCTACACTCAGATATAATAAGAAAGGTCTGGTAAGCAGGATATTAAATGTATTTAATGAAAAATAATAACAAGCAAATGTCTTTACGCAGTCGTTGGTCGTAATAATTTGGGCAATGTCGAATCTCTGTGACTGGGGTGACTGACGTTACCGGATATCTACAAATAAGTAAACAAAGTGTTTTTTAAATAGCTGAAGTAAGAAAGAAGTAATATTAAAGTTAAACGCTTTATATCTGCCTACCTTTGCTGAAAATGGTTCATTCTCCTTTCTCATTCTTTGGTCATGACATCATTCTTCTGGGGTTTTCACTGCCACACACATTATTCCTCTTCTAAAGGATAGCAGCAAGCATATAATAATAATTTCATATTTCGTATAAACCAATGTTTACAAAGAATGCATGTCATTTCTACAGGCGCAATAAGTTATGTTATAAACTGCAATCGTGAAGTATCATAAATTATAAGAGTTAAATTGTAAACCCTTAACAATGAACACCGTACATTTGGCTAAGTGCTATGTCGTTGGAATGTGAGTATACATTTGCAATGTTTAATGCCAACCATATTGGTGTAAGGATAGAAAATATGATGTTTTCCATGAAAATACAGCTTTGTTCAAACACTGGTGTCGTTGTGTTTCTAATAAAAGCAAATAGACTGTAAGCATAAAGGCATATCCAGTTAACATAAAATGAAGTGTAATAGTGCACAAATGAAAAGACCATAGTGAAGTAGATAAGTGATATTTCAGTGAGAGGTAAATTGAAAGATCTGCAACTTTATATTTTGGAAGACAACCTAACATGTAAGATGTCTCACAAATTTCTATAGGGCCTGTGGGGTACCATGGATGGTTTGGCGTCAATCGCAGCTTTGGAATAATGAGTTACAAATGCAAAAGGTAACAACCAACGAAACTGCAGTAGTATTTTCTAGCTGTTCAGCATTTTTTCCTTTGATGCAGTTTCTTATCAACAGTTTGCAGTATTCAGAACATCACAAGTTGCTTACAGATAACTTGTTTAATAATAACTGCTTTAAATATATGAGCCATAAGTGCATCTTCTACATCTTTCATAGCCACAATTAAGTCATTAAGGATCTCAGAATATCTTAGTGATGTGAAGCAAAATAATTTTTAAGATTGATATAACCTATGTAACAGGTGTAGTAGTTGTATGACACAGCCGCTAGCTACTAATCGACAGAAATCTGGTACTAATTTTAAGTACTCTGACATTTGAGAAGGACTATTTATACTATTCTTCCAGACACAATGAACACTGATGTCAATATACTCTGATGCCATTTCATGCACTGAGCAATTAAGGCCTTGTGAAATTCCTTGTGCAAATGTCAATTAAACTATTTTTACATCTTCGCCCAAGCACTTTTAACTAGGAACTTCATCAAAATAGATATAATTACCAGGAAATTCAGCAGCCTATCTCATTCATCGCATAATGTCGTCGATGTGTTATGAGTATTTCAGTCATCCCGGATGATAACAGAAAAGTTTAACATGTTCAAAGCACACATCTAACCTATGTCTGCATGCTATTTCTCTTTCATAGGCCAGATTCTCATAGACTCACTGGAATGACAACAGCCATTGCCTGCAGTATATTTACAACCTTAAGATCTGAAACAACTCGCAAAAAAACAAACCCTCAACGCACTATAATGCAAATAATAGTCTTTCTATGCGAACTCTCTTAAAAAGGATTACTTCTTCATTGATAATTCGTCCGAGCTATAATATACAATTTTACGCTCTACTAAGAACAAAATACAGCAAATTACTGCCATCCGGCTACAGAAGTCTAAAACTAGTGAAATATAATCTATTTCCAAAAAAATAGGCGATTATAACGTCTGTTGCCGTGAGCGCGGTAACCGATGGCATTGCGCGATAACACCTCGAGACAGCCTATATCCTCACTCGCACAAACAAAGAAAACCAAAGCGTTACAATAGTCTAATTCACGTTTATAGTCATCACATATGCTGGCAAACGACGCAAACACAACCACGCAAACACAGCACGCGACAGCACGCACCCAAGGACAATTCAAACTCCAATTGACCGCCACCATTCTAGCCAATGAAAGACGAAAAAAACTGAGTCGCGGAAAATATAACACGAATCCACGTATATCCTCGGTAGAGGATAGAGGCACAAATCAGCTGATTGCTGCAGTTTTAAGGTGTTATCGTGGTGTTGTGTTTAGGCTATTCTACGTTGTTTTTAGTGGTTTTTTGGACAGAAATGTATTTTAAAAATCATATTTTAACGAAGAAACGTGTAAAAAATGAGAAAAATAATTGTTTTTATTGTGTTGACGAAATGCTGTCTTTTCATCGAATTGACATCCCGAGATGCATAAGAAATGAAACAATTCATTGGAAAATGTCAATTATGATAGAAAATGCTAAGTAATTCTAATTTTTGAAGTTTATTTTACGTATATGATGAGAAGGGGGTTACGTCTCATAAACCGTTAATGCCCAGCTCTCGCTACGCTCGGGCCCACGCTGTTCCTTTGAGTTTCAGAAACGCTTAGTAATAACGGACGCAAAAACCAAAACACCGATCTGCCGCTTGTTATTTCTTTATTGTTACACCAACATATAAAAGGAATAAACGAACTAAGCAAACTAAGGTCTGAAAACTAATATTACAATAATAAATCATTGTTACTTCTGACGACGTTTCACTCTTCTTTCTGAACAGCGACCGATGAGACGATGACTGTCGTATTGATGCCTCCGCGAAAATTGAGGAAGTTAATTTTGAGCAAACAACCAAGAATTGATCGTTCAATCTTCAACTCCATTGACAGGGGTTAAATATCAAGGTAATTATGATTTCATGATTTTTACCAAATTGCACAGTAATAAAGGAAATTGAGTTGGTTATTTCGTCAGATAACGGTAAAGAGATAGTCATTTAACTAGTAGGTACTGTATTATTTGTTTACTTATTTAACTCATCACATCTTGACTGAATTTTTATTTTTAATTTTCAGATTATGGTCTTCAATCCCGCAATCACTCAATACATTTAGGCATTCTAATTGGGATTAAAAACGATACTATTTGTGTAAATGATGAAATATTTGTGATATTACTAATGTATTCATTGAAATAAATATTGTTTTAAAATTTTGCTCTATAAATACTCAGTGTTTGTCGAGTTGCAAAGTGATGCCAGTGTAGAAGACGTAATATTCGTAAAATGGCATATTCACACGTTGCCGAATTTGGTCACGATGGGGTACTGTTATCGCTTTTGAGTAATTGCTTTCGCTAGTAAATCTTAAATAGGCGATATGCACAACAAAGGCCTATTTAATGCGTCACAGTGTTTCATGATAGCTAAATGATCAACGAAGTTTAGTGACGTAGTCAACTAATGCACGAGTCTAAGTGTTGGTGTGATCATGTAAGAGCCTTTTGATACGAAATGATAACACAAGAGGAGTAATGTATTTATCTCCTTATTACCTAATGATACCCTTTGAGATAGTGGTGTTAAACGCAACATAATAATAACAGAGTATTTGTGATAAATGGGATATACGTTGCATTGTATACTTGAAGTGCCTAGACTACTAATACAAGTTGTCTGCATATAGAACCTACGTTTGCTAGGTTATGTTTCGTTATTACAGTACGAACACATGTTTGACAGCTACTTTCTTAACAATCTTGAATATTAATCTTATACGCAACTGAAACACTTTACGCAAGGCTTGATGACGCATTGAGGAAGTAATAACAGTTTATGACTGACGCATTTTACATAAGTATTAATACGTTGCCTATCATTCTCGTTAACTCTGCAATGTCCTCAAAATGATAAGTAAAAGAGACAAAGTTAGTTGACATAAATGCATATATTTGTAAAAAAGCAATAATCAGTCAAGTTGAAAATGACTCAGAGTAAAAGAGTACATATATACACTAATAAGAGTTAATAATAATCCAGTGAAAAAATCGCAGCTGTAGAGTTTCTATAGCTGCATCATAGTCATCATAAAGTCCACCAAACACTCTATCCGCAACATCTGTGTCAGTCTGCCTCCGTTGTTAGTGGTGTGGACCAGTCTTGCAGTTTTCGTCACCACCAGTTCCGTTCGCAGAAACTGGATGTGAACTTTTCAAGCGGAGATTCAGATTGTATTCCTTCGAATGCCTTCGGCCGTATTGAGAAATATCTGAAGATGTATACATGTCAGGTAAATTATTCTTACCTTTGGTGAACAATTCCTAATCTTAGCCACAGTGAATATGTGAACAAGGCAAGGAACAACCACAGAGTTGGTGAAATTCTATAGATTAGTCGTCCATATATTCCACGATAGATTTCAAGAATCGTGTAACTTCAAAATCACCTGTCACATTTTCTCTTCTATAAAAAGCAAATATTATACAAGTGACTTATCCATCCGTTACAACTAACTGTAAGAGATAAAATCTTCAAACTTTATACTTCTTTGGTTAAGTTACCCAGTAGTATTGGCGAAGTTAAAGAATAGCGTCCCAAAACCTTCAGCGCTCAAATGACCTTGAACGCATGCTAGTCGTTTGCTAACGGTTCCTGTCATTATTATAGCTGAAATATAGTATTCTCCTTGTTAGTGGATCTAATGCTTCTCACATCTGTGAAATTTATAAGCATGTTAACATGTTCCCTTAAGCTAAAAAATATAATGTCTATCCGTTTTTATTTTTGCTATTTCAAAGCCCGCCTCAGTAACGTAAGGCACGTATTAGCCGCAACGTTTATGCAAAGGAAAATCTACCAATCACAGTGTGCGTAAGTGACCTTCAAGTGCTCAGCCTCTCCATAAGCCATTTGTGCCGCGATCCTCTATCTATATCCTCACCCTCACATCACCTATTTTGGAGTCATGGATAAGTTGAAGAAGTTATTTTCAAGGGAACCAGATGATGAACAGGGGATATTAACAGACGTAAACGCACTAAGTTCCTCATACTCTGTAGGTCGAAAACGGTTTCTCATTAAGTTGGACTACGCGGATCAAGGCGTTTGCTATTTGTTTCGTAATAGGCATTGTGATGTCACTATTGGTAAATTGTCAAATTCTTTCCTCATAGTTTGTTAGGGCTCGTTGTTCTTATGGTTCCCCGGTGCAGGTATTACATTGTTTGCACTGTTTTATACACTTGGGAATATCTTTTCACTTGGAAGGTAATGTATCTATATATCGACTTATACTTTTGTCACCTATCTAGTACCATTTTCCTTATGGGGCCAGTAAATCAGTTAAAGCGTATGTTTCAGGAAACTAGGGCATTTGCAGCGACATTCATGCTGGTAAATATCTAATTATATGCAATCTACTAATCATCTAGGTTTGTCTGGTTCTGACAATCATTTTTGCGCTCCTGGTATGATTTAAAAAAAATTTAAGTTAATTTTCCCTAGGGATTCCGGCTACTGTGCTTGATTTTCTGCATATTACAGTCGTTGGCATTGACGTGGTATTCTCTATCTTATATACCGTACGCAAGGTAATCTTAAAATCTTAATGTTTTGTCGGTCTGGTATTTATGTATCACCACTTTATAGGATGACTTTACTTTGATATATATATATATATATACTATTCTGCAAACTGTTTAGAACCCTAGTTCCTAAAGTTATTTGTAACAGTAAAACAAATGTAACTTCGGTCGACATAGTAGGGATTGTGATTCAAACCCGTCTGCGGCTATCTGAATATCATTTACATGCGGCCACGTAACCTATGTGGGTGCTTCACACATACTGCAAGTACAATAGTGTTCGCACATCAACCGAAATGACAGAAGTGCTTCAGATCGAACAAAATATACAGTTTTGGCTCGTGGCTGAGCCACTTGTCCGTAGTAGGCCATACACATTGCTCATTTGTATCATGTGCCATAATTCAAGCTTAGTTGTAAGTCAACGCCCTATATTGTTTTCAAGACTGCGTTGCACTTCAGTCTTTTGTGGTTGGACTCTTGCGACGTTTATTTGTTTCACTTTCGAATTTTCGTAATTTTTCAGGTGCTTTATTGTTTCGTTGATGGTATCATGTGCAGAATTCTCATCAAAAACTATCTAAAACTTCAATCTCATCATGAGATTAGTTGTTTGTGACTCCCGCTGGTGTATTTGGATACATCATTCCAGGAGTATTCTTAGTTTCCAGTCTGTTGTTACGGGTTTTGGCGCACTTTTACCTTACCATTTATTACTATTGTTCTCTTGGGCTCCCAGTAGGACATAGGGCACCACCTGTACGTCCCCAGTTTATTGTACTTCCTGCGGTCCTCATAAGCTGGTCCACGGTTCCTCATAATTTCTCATCTCCTCCCACAATGTCATCCATGTCACCTTCGGATACCCTATTCTTCGTTTCACATTCTGGTCCCACTCGAGCTGTGGCCTGTCGCGCAATATCTCCTCTACGTGTGCCCTATCCATCTCCATTTTCTCCTACATATTTTTGAGCGGTAGGTGCTTGGTTAGTTTGTTGTCAGAGTTTCATGTTGCTGACTCTTTCTTGCCATTTGATCCTCGATATGGAGCCATCAAAGGCAGTCATTGATAATAGTCTGCAACCTGTTGGAAATGCTGATCGTAACGCGTCACGTATTTGTACCTTAGCAGCTACTTATGTTTCGGCATGCAGTAAAAACAGTAAAAGCTGCAGTTATGCACATCATTTCCAAACGCTTGAGAAATCTATTGTTTCCGAAGTGAAGATCAGTGGTAACTGCATGTTTGATCGTCGCAGTTTCCTTGAAATCGTTTCCATTAGGTGGCGTCTACGTGTAAGCACTTATGAGGTTTGATAGTTTATAGTAAGATAAAGTAGTCATTTTGGATCACAGCCTTGGTCATACCGTTTTTTTACCCCTATAAGTGGTTGGAGAAACTGCATAGTGATCATCCCATGATATGGTGCCATCTGATGAAAGGTATCAGTGATTAATTTGCATCTATTGGTGCATCCCTACTCCCTAATTGGTCTTTGAGACCACCCGATTGTAGCTTAGATATCACCCGAACCCGAAATGATGGAAGAAAAAGCTGCAGTTTCATCATTTCTTTTCTGAGAGTAGTAGGAGGCAATGGGTGTTCTTTTAAATGCAGTTGATAAGTGTGCTTGCTCGTTTCATTCTCTTGCCTACCTTTCGTATTTTCTTGTAATGTAGACGTGTTAAAGTGTGAAGAACATCCAAAAGTGTTCATATGTGTTATTCGTCTGCTGCTTGATATGAGTGAATATCCACTATTATCAGTGTGAATAACGTATAGACATGTTTATTTGTGCTGTGCCTATAAGTGACGTGTCTTGAAACGCATTGACTGAGTATCTATACCTCAACATTTAGATTCTGAGTTCTAAGGGTTCCTCAGCTTGGTTTTATTTAGACCATACAGTAAGGTCGTTGTCATAATCTTCAATTACGATGCAAATTCGCTATAGACAGGATAATTAATGAAGACACATGACGAATTATTTCTAGTCGGTCATTTGACCAAGTTTTATCCGGTCGGTTGACATTGTCACTTGAAATTCAAATGTTTGTAAAAACCGTTTTGAATGACCAGTTTGTTTATTTGCATCACCTGTAGTCTTTTTGGGGTAGCATGCACCCATATGTTTGCTCTAGAGGGTGACTGCATACCTTTGTGTTCTTACAAAAAGCCAGGATCGATGTTTGGTTATTTTGAAAACCAGTATACAGTCAATGGGTGCTCATTGGTGTTGATCGGCTTTCTTCTTTACCTCTATTTTCTATGTGTTCCCATGAGGTCCTGTCTTTGCTGCCTCTTCTGCTAACTTGTTTGTTTTCGCTTGTATATCTTGGAGATAAATAATCTGCGTAATCCAGAGCCTTTCTGTCAGTTCATCCTATGCCTCTTCTCTGTCCGCACAGTCCATCACAACCGGTCGTGTCATTTGTGATAATAGGCAGCATGTTTTACTCATGTCTTTAATTCAGACACTTCGGTGAGCTTTCCATCGTGAATAACCGGTATGCGGTATTATTACATAGCAGTTGAATGAAGCTTATATATGTCTGCTGCACTCCATAGTGTTGCCAGATTGCTTCGTGGTCGACGTCGAAGGCTTTCACAAAGTCGATGAAGTTAATCACTTTCCTGAGCTGAGGTCCATAATGATGCGTAGTGTTGCAGTTTGGTCCGATCATGGCTTGTTTTACCAAAATCCATCCTGTTCCGAAGGGAATCTCCCACCCAGAGCAGCTTTTACGGTATCTTTTTATTATTTTCCGGGAGGTGGACAGGCGCATCGTGCATCACCACTTCTTGCATAGCTTTCGGTCACCTTTCTGTGCCAGTTTGACAAGGTAGCACTTCTTCCAGTCCACAGTTACCTTTCTGTTTTTCCGCCCCTGCCCACCTGCAATAGTGGTGTGAGCATGTCCGCTGTGTTTTCTGAATCGGTTTACAGTGCTTGTGGAGGATCCCTTCGGATCATGTTGCCTTCCCGGATTTGAGTGATTTTATGACTTTCAAAACTTCTGGTTTCGTCAGAGTTCTGGTGTTTTGTGGTGGTTTTTGTTACTTCTGGTGTTAATTTCGAACGAGCTAGAGGGTGCTTGTGCTTTTGTATGCTCCCTTCATCTACTAAGTTATTATTTTTATCATTATAATATACTTTAATTCCTAGAGGAACATAGGGCTTCAGCTGCGCATCTCCATTGCCTTCGGTTTTCTGCCAACTTTTCCACCCCGCTCCAAGTCTGCCCACATGCTTTCATCTCTTCACATGACCTCCTCCAAGTCACCCTTGCACTGACGACCAACTCATCACTTCCCTTTCGGGTTCCACTCGAGGGCTTGTCTAGTGATGTCACTTGATGGTTTATTTCCACAGAGTATGGCCAATCCATCTCCATTTCTTCCTGCCTGTTTGTTTCACAATCGGTCCCTGCTGGGTTGGTTCGCTCCCAGAGATCTTTGTTGCTGATCTTTTCTGGCCACCTGGTCTTGAGTAGTGAGCAAAGAAAGCCGTTAATGAAGGTTTGTAGATTGTTTGAGGTGCTCATGACGCGCCAAGTCTCTGATCCGTATAGTAGCACTGACTTCACATTGGAGTTGAAAATCTGGATCTTATTTTTGATGCTGAGTGATGTTGACCTCCACACAGACTTAAGGGTAATGAAAGCCTGTCTTGCTTTTCCGATTCTGGCTTTGACATCCTCGTCAGTTCCGCTGGCCTGAAGTTGAAACGATGCTTCCCAGGTAGGTGAAGGAGGTTGTTTCTTTCAGGTTCCTCCCATTTATGCTGGCTGATTTTTATCTGTTGTTGCTGCTGTTGGTATTGGCCAGGAATCTTCATCACCTCTGTTTTATCTATGTTCAGCTGAGGTCCTATCTTTGACGCTTCTTCTGCTAGCTTGTCGCTTTTCACTTGCATATCTTCCAGTTTGTGGGGAATCAGACATATATCATCGGCGAAGTCCAGATCCTCCAAGTTTTTTGTGTGAGTCCATTTTATGCCTGTTTCCTCATTGCCCGTTGTCTGTCTCATTATCCAATCCACTGCAGTCAGGAAGATCATTGGCGATAGTAGACAGCCTTTCTTCACTCCCGTCCTCACTTCGAAGGATTCCGTAAGTTTCCCGTTGTGGATTACTTGGCATGCATCATTGTCGTACAACTGTTGGATGAGATGTATAATTGATGGGACCCCGTAGTAGCGAAGTAGTTTCCAAATCACCTCTCGATCGACGCTGCGCTGTCGACGGCCTTTTCAAAGTCGATGAAGTTGAGATAGAGAGGTGACTGCCATTCCAAACTCCGTTCAATGATGATCCGTTGAGTGGCGATTTGATCAATACATTACTTGTTTCCCCTGAATCTAGCTTGTTCCGGTCGGAGTTTTGCATCCAGGGCTTGTTTGATTCTCTCCAGGATGATGCGGCTTAGTATTTTTCTTGGGATGGATAGGAGCACAATTCCGCACCAGTTTTTGCACTAACTTAAGTCTCCTTTCTTTGGTAGTTTGAATATGTATCCTTTCTCTCAATCCTCGGCTACTTTGCCCTCCTTCCACACCTTCTCCAGCAATGGCGTCATCAAGTCCGCTGTTGTCCCTGAAGCCATTTTCAATGCTTCTGCTTGGATTCCATCTGGTGTTTTCCAGCTTTTAGCATCTTAATTGCATTCAGGACTTCTGATTTCGTCGGGGGTCGTTGTTCACTGGTAGATCTGCTTCCGTTGTTGGTATTGTTGGGCGCGTTGTAGGTGGCGGACGATTTAGAGGTCTTTTGAAGTGTTCAGTCCAGTGTTTGTTTTGCTCTACTTCTTTGGTGATTGACCTTCCGTTGTCATCCTTTACTGGCTTAATCTGTGTCGAACTTTTGCTCGATAGGTGCCTAGTTGTTTGGTAAAGTGTGGCGAGGTCTCCTTTGCCTGCAGCTTGTTCTGCTTCACTTGCCATGACTTCATAATATTTTCTTTTGTCTTCCCTGGTACTATTCTTTACTCTTTTGTTCAGCGTATTGCAGTTTGCATTCAACTCCTGTTTTTGTTGCTCATCGGTGCACTGGATAATCTTCTGTTTCACTATCCTCCTCTCTTCTATTAGTTTCCAAGTGTCCGTAGTGAGCCACTGTTTGTCCTGTCTCTTCTTTCTGCCTAGAACTTCCATGCAGGTTTGACTCCACGCCGTTTTCAAGTTGTCCCAGTGCTTTTCGACGCTGACCTTTTCGCTGGTGTTGATTTGTGTCTCGGCTTTGTCCTTTATGCTTGCAATGAAGATGTCCTTTGTAGCCTGGTCCTTCAGCTTTTGAGTGTTGAACTTGGCTTGTGGTCTATCTGCAGCTCCTGTTTCCTTGAAAGCTTTTAATTTGACTTGGATTGTCCCTTGTACGAGATAGTGGTCTGAGCCAACGTCTGCTCCTCTTCTTGCTTTTGTGCCCAGTAGGCTGCGCCTCCACTTCATTGAGATTGAGATGAAGTCAATTTGGTTTTTGGTTTGCCCGTCTGGTGACACCCATGTAGCCTTGTAGATATCTTTGTGTTTGTATACGCTGCCAACAATCACTAGTTTGTTGAAGGCGCAGAAGTCGGCGAAGAGTTCTCCATTTTCATTCATTTCTCAGAGAGCTTCTCTACCCATGATGAGTTCCCTTCCTGTGTTGTCTGATCCCAGTTTGGCGTTCACGTCTCCCATTAGTATTTTAATGTCACCAGCTGGCGTATTGTCCATTGTTGCCTGTAGTTGTCTGTAGAATTCTTCTTTCTTTTTGAGGTCCTCGTTGTTTTTGGGTGCATAGCATTGTATAATTGACACTTTCCTTCCTTTGGAGTTGAATCTGGCGGTGATTATCCTGGGCGAGATTGTCTCCAACTGTATCAGGGCATTTGTTACCGTTGGTGAAATCATGATAGCCACGCCCTCGGTGTGCGTGTGGTTATCTTCTGGGTGACCGGAGTAGATCACTGACTCACCCGTTGACAATTTGGTGAGTCCATTTCCGTTCCATCTACTTTCACATATTCCCAGTACTTGGATTCCGTATCTTTTCATTTCGTTTGCGATCTGGGTAGCTTTGTCAATCTCGTACGTAGTTCCAACGTTCCATGTCTCCACACAGACGTTTTCTTTTGGTGCAAAGAGATTCATCGTGCTGAAGTTTCTGTAGCAACTTTGTTTACAGGGTGGGGTTGCTAGCCTCACGCCTGAGAAAGGGATTGTTACATTAAGATATAGTTTAGAGAGAAGAGACCTTGTGGGTTGCTCCCCTTAAAACCGGAAAACAAGGAATAAAACAATCAGAACAACACCAGCGAAAAGAAAATAGTTCACAGCAAAAAGGGCAACAAGCGACAACAACAATACAATAATATACAATACAGTTAAGCACAGTTAACTAAAATGATACCAAAACCATAGACTTACTGACTTGGGCCAACTTGAACATATAAATCCAACAATGTAAACAATTACAGGTATGAATTAGTGTTAGAAAGTCACAAAATGTCAAACGGTTAGTTATAGGTATTAGTCATTAAATGCGCCTAAATCTGCAAAGACTTTTCCGTTTTTGTTCATTTCATCGAGTGTCAATCTCTACCTGTGATGGGTTCTCTTTTTGTAATTTCTACCCCCAGTTGGGGCTGACACTTGTATCACTTATTATAATTTTGAAATCACCACTTGGAGCCTTGTCTATAACTGTTTGCAGGTGTCTGTACGAGTTCTCTGCCTTCTTCACTGTGTGCGATGTTTGGTGTGTAATTTTCATTTCAAGTTGGATGTTTTTGTCAATATCCTGGAAGAAATTATTTTCTGCTGAGTAGGAACCTTTGTTGCATCATGATAGTCACACTGCCAGTTTGCTTGTTGTTATCGTTTGGGTGACTGGACTAGGTTGTCAACTCTCCTGTTATCGATTTGGAGAGTCTACTTCTATTCCAAATGTTCTCAAAGATTAAATGAGCTTCTGTACCAGACTTTTTCAAATCTTTTGGAATGAGGATCCCTCCTAGCCTCTAACACGAGAGGGACATTACGAGAATGTGCTTGTTTTCGCTTTAATGGGAAGAAGACATCGGTCGACTTGCTTCGTGAAGGCTTTCACCCTCTGGTGTCATTTTTCCTTCTCGATTCGAGGGAGGCATAAGTTTTTTTTCTGTGCTTTAAAGTTTCAGTGGCAATGATGTTGTTTTTACGAGGTGAGGGTGCTAACCCAACACCTAACTCCCCTTCTCTGGACTCAGGAATGGTTGAGAAACTAGGCAAGTTTATTCCTACATTTGCGTTCGTATGTTATCTAGGTTATAATATCTGGGGCGCCGTCTCATCGGAATAACCTGCTCACCTTGAAATAATTTGATTTTTAGTTCATAAAGCTTTTCTAATTAATTTTTGTACGAGACATCTCAAATTAATGTAACTCAGTGTTCATAAATGCGTTGTAAGATTGGCCAGTCTTGTCGTACAATTTAATGTTGTAAATAATGTCTGACTTTTTATCCTTAAGAATTGGAGTAATGTAATTGATGATAAACCATTTCACGACAACTTTCAACCTGTCTGATCATATAAAAGATAGAGACTATGTATTACTACTGTGAAGGTTAAACTACAGACTAAAATACTCCCTAGTTTCCACCCATTACTTAATTTGCCTGCCTGTTATAATTAGTGCATTCGATTGTAAGTCAGTCATACGCATTATGGATACAATTTCTATTTTGATAATCATATGATATGATTATGAGCAAACAAGATTGTGTTCGGAACGTCACCAGTAAATATTACTGTATAACACTGTGAAACATTCTCAAAATAATTTTTTTATCCATAAATGAATTATACTCGATCACATTGCTCAGCTTCTATCCCTGTATCAATAAGTCGTGGGCAACTGGTTTATCCTACTGCATCTTTCAGTGCGTACTTGATTGTATTTTATCTTTTATTAAGACTGTGCACGATTGGATAATAATAATGTCAAATATTTTTGACTTCATGTATACACTATGGTGTACCTATTATTTTTGTAGGGATGCTGTAAAACGGCTGTGTTCTTCGTGTATTGGATGAAGTCGCCTCTTCTGACGAAAGGAAGTGTTGTTGTGCTACGACAGCGATGTGCTCACCTTTTTTATTAATTCAAAGTGATTTATCTATCATTACTGTTTAAGTGTGATTATTTTCTTACCTTAATTCAATTTCACTTTGTTTGTATATTGTCCCGATTATATGATCTTATTATTTTTCTTGTTTTGTTTTGTTGTATTCTGACTGACCTGATGATTGTATTTGAAGTAATCTGTTATTTTGTAATATGTACAGAGTATAACAAAAAATCTAACTAATTTTACCATCCCTCTCCTTGTCTACTTGTCAATGCATGAATTCAACAGATTACGTTTATATTCACTATGCCTACAGTGTTCTTCAAAACACTTCAACCAGAAAATTGACTTATTAGGTGAACAAGTGCCGATTTCTCACCAAAACGATTTATTTTTCTTGAAAATAATTAGAATGACATAGTGTGTATGTGGTAATAACACATGATATTAAATGCTTGGTAAATTTCCGTTGTTGTGGATTTTTTTATGGTTAATATTCGAAGACTAAATTGTTTTCATTCTTTTTTATGTATTGTTTTAATGAGGTTTTAATTGGTTTTTATATATTTTATTTTAAATTATATACTCCTGAAGTTGGTAGATTCTGAAAATTATCCTATGTGTTTGTTCTTCTTGAAAACTAACTCGAGGCTATTGGAGTGTTTAGTTATCTAACTGCACATTATGTGTGATTCGATTATATCTGTAGTAATGGAAGCTGTGACATTTAGTTGACAAGTTTAAGACTAAGTTATTTGATAAAGCAAAACGATACTGTATTCTTTATTTGCTAATTATGTTTACAGCATACTTCACTGTTCATAATATTGTCAAGGCGCTCAAATGACTGACTGATTTCAACATAGAACTTTGCACAGATGTGCAGCGGTTCGAGTTGCCACTCTCCATGTAGCACACAAAGCAAGAGAAGAGAGTAAAGGGAAATCCAAAAGAGAGATAATAAACGCGTAAGTAAGGAAAAAAGAATAGTAATATGGAAAAACAATAGTTTCATTGGATATGACAAATCACAAAGAGTGAATGTACTTGCGCCAATGAGAACTATTTTCAGCCAAATCACCAGTTGTTCCCAGCAATTGGTTCTTACCATCCTACCGACTGCAATCAAGAAGCTTACACATCCCTACGTGGCTTAAATGAATTCTTATAGATTTCATTGACTAATAAAGCCGTGTTTTTGGTTTAATCATCACTGGCTCTTTTCCAACCTGATCCATCCTGTGTCATCTACCATGACCCGTCGAGAAAGGCAATCGACAGCTAGGTATGCATGTATAGAACATGTCCTAACCATCTCAATCGATGTAACCTAAGAGGGTCGTCGATTGATTTTCCCTCCTTACCTTGCCCTCGACTGAAGCCTAACCTCAGTACTGCTCACATTATTATGCTACTTACGCGGGTAAAGAGAGCAAGTACCTATGATCAAAAGCAGCTAGCTGTCATGGCTTTCAATGTCTTTTATTTTTAATGGCCATGTCTCACAGCCAGTCATAAAGGAGGACAGAGTGAAGTGCTGAACAGTGTACACCGTCTGATCGGTAGCCGGATATCACGTTTACGCCAGGATTGGCGTGAGCTGGCAAATACCGAACGAGCCTTCTGTATCCTTGCTGAGATTTCATCATCGATCTGCCCGCTGGCGTTGGCTGATACAACTTTCCAAATAAGTGAAGTGGTCAGCACGCTCCACCACTTCACTCCCTATCTTCAGGCTAGGAGTCCATGTGGTGCAGTCCTGTAGCATCATCTTACATTTGGTTGGGTGAATCACATATCAAACATTCAAAGATTGCTGCTCGACGAGTTCAGAAGACTTCGTTTTGTCAGCGCCTTCACCCAGGAAGGTTATATTATCCTCATATCCTGAGTCAACAAGATTGTTCCACACGAGAAAGTCAATCTCTGAGTCACTGAAGTCAGTTAGGATTGATTCCATTGGCAGATACATTTATGATGAAATTAAACAGAAATAGGGACAGTGGGGACACCCCTGACGGGCACCAGCGGTTGTCACCACTTCAGATGACAACTCTGCGTGAGGTCTTATCTGGCTGTATGAATTCGAGTAGAGTGTCTTGATCAATGCAATTTATTTTCTCGGCACTCCCTTCACAGCCAAATATCGCCACAGTAACACTTGGTCGACGGAACGGAATGCCACCTTCAGACCAGAAACATGGCAATTGGTCACAGGATTTCATCATGAGATGACATCAGTTAGAGAACCATTGTAAAACCTGGGAGTACTGGACAGCTGTTTAGTCGTAGTTTGGAAGTCTTCTGGTTACAAGGCGGGCCTTAGACCATTAAGCCACTGGGACCCTATGCAATGACCTTGAATTCCAACTTCTGCCAATTTACGACATAGCGCGACCACTAGCCAATGTCTTCAGTGAGTATTTGTCCCCATGCCCGACCTCCTGTGCTCAACTGGTCACGACTTCTCACTAGAATCCCCACAGTTAACTACCTACTTTAATAGGGCCCGGTGGGTACATACTGATTTAGAGTCCCAAACTAGGACAAAACAGCTGTCCACTACTCGCAGGTTTTCCAATGGTTCTCTAACCTTTGTCAGCTCATGATGAAATCCTGTAACCAATCAGTCAAATCACTACAAGCCAGTACTCGAAACATCGCAATTTTCGGACGCCGGTAAGTATGCTTATGTTCCAGAATTTGTCGAAGGTTGAAGATATGATCAATACGCCTTCGTCCTGATCTAAAGCTCTCCTGCTTCTCGTGTTTGTTCCTCCCTTGTATTACCTAATCTACGGATGATTATTGAACCCCGAACTTCAATCCCCCAGTGGCCTTCATGGGAGGCTTGTATTCCTTCTTGTGTACTGGGATAAGTGTTTTATTGATGGTTCATTGACAGAATTCTCACTAGTTACTTGGGAGGTCTGGATTAGTTTCCCATCAATACACATAAATTTCGCCTAGTTTTTTAGATGGTAACAAGGTCGGAAAAGAGCGAAGGCCAGCTACCGCACCCCTTAAAAGCACCACGGTTGATGAAACTTGAATTCTTATTTTCAACCTAAAATGGAAGGAATTCTCTGTATGAACCATCAGTTAAATGTGTTTACATATCCAAATGAGTGGTAGTTTTCGCATTGTTTTAAATATCAGATCTTTATCTACATATCCTGGAGATCGACAAAAGCCAACCCTAGGATATCAATTGTTATTTATCATTAAACGTTGGTTCTTGTGGTTCAATTTAATGGATTGAATGAACTGATCGCCAGTGACCCTCTTGTATATCTAGAACGCCTGATTTTATGTTGCTCATGGTTTTGCCTTAAACAGAGTAGATGTATGTTGGCTAGAGGGATGCACTTTACAAAATAGTTTGGACTTCACTTTGGTTTGTGTTCTGTAAATTGATTACAATGCAAAGGGAAAAGAAATATTTTCCCCTTGTATTTGTGAATATACGACTAGAATAACTATTGTTGCATAAAAACCACGAACATTTCAACGTACAACAATCAATAAACTACTGTATCAAGTATAAACATCGTTTTATTGCAGTCTTTTATACTGTTATATACTTGTTATTTAGTGAAGGTAGTATGAAGGCATCTTCATCAACAAATGTTTCAATTATTGGTTCTTTCGTCACACTGATAACTTCATAAGATACACATGGAACATGTTGTTTTCTGCTCTGATAAGCTCTAACATTTTAACGCTTTTTGAAGTAATTTATGTCTTTGCCAGAAGTAAATAATTTCAGTCTGTCCAACGGTCACATTATTTGTTTATTAAAATTAAAAAGTACCAGTGCTGTAAATAAAAAAAGACTATTTATCTTTAGGGTATTATGATGTCCGAATATATTATTTTCATATTTAAGCAGATTTTTTTTTTTACTATTCAGTTTACTGTATATTTGCGATATTCATTTTGTAAAACTACTATTTAATACATAGGGAAATGTAAAAATGACTCTTCTGAAATGATGCCTCTATTGGGAGGTACAAATGTGGAAATCACTAAGTGAAATCTACTGTTGACATTGTCTTCGTCAATAATTGTTAGTTCACATCAATGGTGTAGCAAATAACATGAACTTCGTTAAGATTTTAGGAACGCAATAGTGCTTTTGAAGCAAATAACTCGAGTTTGAAATGATCAAGTTTGTATGGATAGCGAAATGTTGGTTTTATTTATTTTATTTTTTTTTAATTTTTGATTACAGCTTGAATACACACTGTATTTTTGGTACAAGTATGGAATTTTCAGCGTGGATATCGGTAGCCCAAATTTCGCAGGCCGACCATAGATATCAGGTGTGCGTCGGCGTGGGCTCGAACCCCGGACCATATGCATGGTCGGCGAGAGTCCTAACCACTGTGCCACCGACGCACAGTTAAGAACACGTAAAGCGACACACTGTTAGGTACTCGTCGCTAAATTGTTATGTACTAGTTTTCCCCGTACATGGAGTTATGGACTGGTCGAGAAACTAATAGTCCTGACGCGAGAAGGCGGAAATCAGAAGACCACTAGGTTTGCGATGATATTTCTATTGTCCAAACACAAGGAGACGAAAATAAATGGTCTCACACCAAAGTGGTAAGTAAGTCAAGTAAAGTAAGGTCACACAAATTGTGAGAAACGAAATATATATGAATGTTCCAGACAAAGCGTGTGAACAAATCATTAGACAGTCTTAACATGAATGGCTAATTATAATGAAGTATCGATCCATATAAACATAGCGAAATATAACAGACATGTCAACAACCAACATATATGGATATCTGTCACCAAGCAACGGACTGTCAACAAACACTCATATTATATTATATATAATATGAGGAGAATATACGTTGTTAAAGGAGACAAGTTCATACAAGTGAAATGGTCACAGACTAAGCGAGCAAACAGAAAGATAGACCAACATACACACACACATATATAAATATA